TTTGCATAGTTTTTGTGTGCTATTGTTTCAATGATCAGATGGTCATATCACTGTCTCCAACCGTTGTATCTTGAAAGGATCTCCATTGAGGTCAAAGGGTCTATAAAATTGAAGTTGAATTTCTTACGTTGATCTCTTAAACGATAAGATTTGCAAAAAATTATAATGAAATTTACTCGTAATTAAATTGAAAATCGTGTTCATGTGTGATTTTAAGCCTGGTTTGAGTTAAAGGCGTTTTAATGCTTTTTAATTTCGGGTCATTTTCCATCAAGGTTCTGATTGAGTTCTTCATGATCATTCAATTAAATGGAAAGGCTTCGGATTGCATGACCATCATTTTACAAATGAATGTCGAGCTTTCTATCGTGTACAATTATAAAATATAAACCATTTTTATTCTTCTAAAACGAGAATACATTATAATAATGCACACACAATGGTATGATACCAACGCGATGACATTTAAATAATTCTTTATTACATAGGGTGGTTTTTATCTACTTACATTGGTAGACTGGTATGCAGCAACATTTTCCATGACAATATTTGCTCTGATTGAGTTATTGGTGATGACGTTCATCTACGGTACGTTGCTATTACATGTACCATTGTATTACTACACGACACGTGTGTTACGTCGATTTTTATTGGACAACTGCAAAGTTTTTATTGTTCTTATAATACTGCAAGTTTGTAACATCCTTTTTCTTTTGACATCCGCAAAGTTTGCATTATTCATATATACGAATACTGCAAATTTATGAATCAATTTTTTAATCAAACAATTGTGCATGATGTATATCTTCAATTCTTTGTCAAGTCTTTTGACATTTTACATGGTTATTAGCTGGCGACTTTGGTCATATAGGCTTACGGCCGTTTACAAACCACTAGCAAATGATTTTTTGTTTATGCTTGTTCAAAAGCATGTAATGTTTAATCTCTTTACGAAAATGTCTGCTATGTTATGCTGCGCAGTAAAACACTACTTAATCTGTTTCATTCTGGAATAGATTTTTATACTGAACACTAATTAATGTGAATAATAAATCAACATTTAAACATTTATGTACATTGTACTTATAATATACATACATTTTTAACAACTTAAGGGAAATCCCAAACGCCATTTTATATTTGTTCTACCTTTTTTTTTTTTTAAATATTATGGCGGGTTTTACCTCTCAACATTGTATCATGTCGACTTTCCACAGTCCGTTAATTTTTGATAACCTGATCATTAGACTTTGATGTAGATTTGTTTATTAAGAGATCTGACGGAAGAGAAATTTATTTTTTTCCTTATCACAAGAACAAGTTTTGCCTTTTATCATACCATGCAACTTTGTAGGTGTCAAAAGAGTTGATGATAATATGCGGGAGATGACAGGAAAGGGGGTACCTATCCTCTTCAAAATTGCTTGGTGTGTCACAACTCCTATTCTTCTTGTGGTATGTCTTTTCTTCATACCGTCAATGTTAATTGGGTAATATCATGTTGCTTAGGATTGTGGCATTGCACAAAGAGCAGCAACGTTTTCTTCATTATAACCGGCATCGAAATTTGGCTGAACACTCTTGCATATAGGTTTTGAATGTATATTTATTGATATACTTTTAGAACAATCACCTGTTATACAAGATAGGTAATGGAATTCGTATTGGCTTCATATGTTGATACCTTAAAAACCATAAGCAATGACATGTGGCAGATAAAAATTACAAATTGTCCGCATTTGAATCCAGTTTTAAACAAACTATAGATCGATATTTTTTCAAACATATGTGGGCGGGTCAATGTGTAATGCAAAGAATTTAACAAAAAAGCAAATATTTCACCATTTTATTTTTCAACCCTACGACTAAATAATCACCTCCTTCAGAAATACAAAGTTTCAGACGTTTAATCCAATTTCAAATGCTTCAACATAGTTCCCCATAGGTTAACCTTACAATAACTCGAAAATAGCGATCTTAGTCCATTTCTACTCTTGTGGCGATGACCTGCAAGATGATTTTTCAGTCTAGGAAACTGGAAAAAGTCCCAGGGTTCCGAGTCTGTAGCATATGGTGAATGTATAAGGACAGTCACTCGGGTTTTTTTTTCGGACAAGAAGTCAAATAGCTCCTTTGTGCACAGGAGCGTTTTATGTTACAGAACGACGTCAAGACTCAGGAATTTGGACAGCAGTTCTGCGGTACTGAAAACAATAACGTACATAACTTTCTTGACACTTGTCAATTGTTTGGCAATGCATAGTCGATGAACATTTTTGGTGACCAAAATCTTATTGATTGTTACACTTGCAAACTGGCGAAATTTTCCTAGTTTTGCTCGAGCATTTATGAAGCCCGTATTTCAACATTTTTAGCTGAGCGTTTATCTGCCATATTTTACATGAAGTTACTCGTGAAATGTGTTTTCAAATGTGAATACAGTTCCTTTTATCGGTTGAATACACACATGATTTTGGTAGCATTTGAAAGCCGATGCTTTGAGGGAAAGAATAGTTTACGCAAATACATGAATCACGTGCATAATAAGAAAAGATACCTCATATTGCATTACATATTGACCCACCATCATATTCTTATGATTCTAGATTTTATAAGTGATGTTCATGAAAAAACAAATTTAGATTGTGCTGCATATATGCTTGTGACACCTGTAGCAGACTTTCAAATACATTATGTTATAGGTTACACTTGGTTTCACCGTATATACGTACAAACCACCATCCTATGGCAGGTACGAGTACGAGCCCTGGCATATCAGTTTAGGCTGGTGTATATCGTCCTCCTCCCTCGTGCCTATACCATTATACCTCTTCTACCGGCTAAACAAAACACCCGGAACAATACTAGAGGTAATATGTTTAATACTTACTGTTACAAATGAATTAATACTTGTCTCTAAATAAGACTCTAATTCCCTTCCCTGTTCTGTTGTGATATATATATATCTTCAAATGTTGTATTTCAAGGTCCTTTAAACATAAAAGAGGGTCTTTCAAGTACAAACTTAAACGAACCAGAACTAACGTAATGATACATGTACGTTTCCTCATTTTAAATAAAGCATAAAGTTATTTTTTTTACAAATTTATCAAATACAGTCCACCTTATTATTAAAACAGTGGCAATTAATTAAAACATTTGTACCAAATAAAATGATGTTAAAATATATGTTTTAAATTTAAACGCCTTGAAATATATTTGGTATATAAGTAAAATTTCATTCAGTATAATAAAGGAATATATTTTGACTAGTATTTTCGTTCCAGAGATTTAAGGTCAATCTACGACCGAATGAAAAATGGGGTCCACAGGAGTCACTAGAACAAGAAGCTATACAAAATGGAAAACTTCTGGAAGATGATATTCAGACGAGGTCGTAATCGAAACAGATTTTCCCAAGTATGTTACTGTTCCCAAGTATGTTACTGATGTGAGATTCCCAGACTGCATGCAAGATTGCTCTGACACCAGTGAAACCAACAACCGTTGGTCTTGATATCTTCAATGTTTTAAGTGTTTACAATATTATCATTATCATATCGAGGGTTCAAAGGTAAAAGGTTATAACTGCCACTTTTGCCGAAATTGACTTTTTATGTTTTTTATAATGTACTTATTGTCCTTCATGTCTGACGAAAATATTATATAAATATTCAATCCTTATAAGGGCAAAAAATTAAAAAGTATTTTGTAATAACTTCTTTTCTACAAATTATTTAGGGGTAAAAGGTTCTAAGTGTACTTATTACCTTTTGTTTACTTGTTTTTCCACATGTTGTGAAGAATCTGTAGTGGAAAAAGGTTATAACTGATTTTATCACCTTTTTCCCCTGACAGAATGCTGCATTCATACAGTTCACAAGCACTATCTGTTATCTCTTTTCCCACGAAATTTATCTTTTAGAATTAAATGCAGCGAGAATATAACCGAATATGAAAGACAGAAAATATTCAGTACATACTGGTCAATGGGTGATTACATAAGTCAGAGGCAATTCATTTGTTTCCATGTTGCCAATAAAGAACCAGAGAATGTATCTAAACAGAGAACAAAACAAAGAACTATTTCGAATTCGTTTTTCACACAGGTAGAAAAGAGGGCGTGAGGGATGTTGCACTTATTCATTATCTCTCATGTACAGACTCAATCAAACCGACTCTGCAATTTTTATGTAATTTTGTTGTGATTAATGCTTCCGAGGGATCACTTTGTTTCCAGAATTTTTTACTAAAAACTATCGATGTCGGTTCCAAAACAGTTGCAAACGCAGTTAAGCACAAAGTGGCAGGGTTATATGTTGGAAATGACAAGAGAGGGAAAGCTGTGCCTGGAAATAAAACCACGGAATATCACAGATCATTTGTAAAGAAACACAACGAAAGCTTTCCGACTGTTGAATCACACTACACACGAAGACCCCAACAGGAAGTATCTAACGCAAGATTTAAATATAAAACGAATATACTCACTGTATGTAGAAAAATGCAAAGGACAAAATAGAAAGTGTGTTTCAGAGGCTGTGTACAGAATCATTTTTAGTACAGAATATAACTTTTTTCTTCCGTCCTAAGAAAGATCAATGTCCACTCTGCAATCTGTATCACACTTTGAGAATAGAAGATAGACTAGATGAGGCAACAAAAGCAAAATATCAAGTACACCAAGTGACCAAAAAGAAAAAAAAACAGTGCTAGAATGGAAAAATCAGCCCAAAAAAAAAAAAAAAAAAAACGCACAAAGAAAGATCCAAAGTTTTCTGTGTCGGCATTAGTTATCCAGGCTATTTTGAAGACACCACTCAGTTTAATTGGTGATCTTCGTTACAAAAGAAAACTGTGTTGTTGCAATTTGTCATTCTATGAACTGGGAAATGGTAACGGGACTTGTTATCTGTTGGATGAGACACGGGGGAAACGAGGCTCGTGCAAAGTAGGAACTTTTGTGTACTTGTATGTAACCTCTGTTGCAAGTAAGACATCTGGTATTGAAGAAGTGACATTATAAAGTAATGCATGTGGAGGACAGAATTGCAATCAGTTTGTTGCAAGTTGCTTAGTTCACTGTGTCCAAGATACCTCACATCAATGGTAAAACCACACATTTCTTGAAATTGGCCATTCATTAATGGAATGCAAATTCCATACATGCATCTATCAAGCATGCAAAAAGCCTTACAATAGTTCATGTTCCATCGCAGTGGGAAACAGTTATATCATACCAACTCCGGAAGCAACCATATATTGTCGTTATAATAAAATACTAGTACAATGACATACTAGATTACAAGTTGTACAAAGAACAAAACTTTGGCTCAATGAAAATCGATGTTGATGGTGAACGTGTTAATTGGCTGAATATATATAAAATACATGGTTGATTTAGGGATGGATAAGGCTTATCCGGTGAGCTAGAAAGTGTATCTTGGCGAGCTTTAGCAAGCCAAGATTCACTTTCGCAGTGAACCGGATAAACCTTCTCCAGCCCGACATCAACTACTAGTATGTATTTGTTTTATCCTGCTTTTAATAATGTTTTTAGAATAATTAAATGGTTTCATTCTTCTTTTTCCCCGATAAAATAACATCTATATGTAGTTTTGTTTTGCTGCTAAACATGTGACGTTATCAAATGACGTAATGACTGATGATAGATAAAGACAAAAATACAGTATTGTTGTGAGCTATGGTTTTGTGGTTAGTGAGTTCAAGGCAGTTAGGTTAATGCAGAAGAAGAACAGAAGCAAAGAAAAGTCTCTTAAGGCTCCACGAAAGGCTTATACAGAGAAGCTTCCAATATCTGCTGCAAAAGCTGATTTGATGTCACTTGTTGCCTCTGGAACAATTCCGAAGGAGTGCGAATCATACTATGAGTCATTGCCATGCAGCAAATCTATAAAAGACAAACTTTCAGTGCCTTCTGTTAGTGAGAGTGAAGAAGATGAGTGGAGGTCATAGAATAATTAATGACAAACATTCACATTTTGTGACATGAAACAGTAGTCTTTATTTACTTAACTATGATATGGGTCACTAATATCCTTAATTGCTGATGTCTGGGGTCTGTTTGACTTCAGTTCGATTATATACCAGAGAACATTCAAAAAAAAATGAAATTTGTAAACTTAGATTTGAGTGCGTATTTTCGTAAACTTTTTAGTTATTAATTTATTTCTGTAGAATCTAAATATTGAGCAGGTACATATTTCATATTTCTATGAATGAAAAGTGTTAATTTTGTGTACGAGTATTAATGTGCATTGTGTTAATTACATTACGTAAGGTTCTTCAAAGTAAGGACATAATTGATAAATTTGCAACAGTAACAATTACTGCAACATCTAAATTTTTCAGAGGAACAAGGCTATAACTGCACTTATAACCTTTTACCACAGTTTATCTCTAACTTTTATTGCTAAACCTGCAGAAGTAAAAGGTCGTAAGTGCAGTTATTACCTTTTACCGCTCAAACTTGTAGTCTTGACAGGATCTAAGTACATTTATTACCTTTTACTTCTGTAAAATGATGTTATTTTGATCTTAGAACTTAAAACAAACTATAATTACAGTGTTTTATCAGCACCAAGCAATGTAAACTAAACAAAATATGATCTAATGTAGTCAACAAATATGGGAGAATCAAAATTGTTATAACAATATTACGGAAAATAAAGTTGTATTAAAAAATATGTTTTTTGCGTTTTTCTCGAAATCTTGAAAATGGCAGTTATTACCTTTTACCTTTGAACCCTCGATATATAACTTTTGATTTTAGTATATGAGTAATATTTACTCTTGATTTTTCGGAACTACCAAGACTGTTAAAACTATTTGTAAAGTATATTTTTCTTTTAAATACGATACAGGTACATGTGCATTTTAAGGAATTAAATGCGATCGGCAATTTAATTGTCTTTTACATATACATGTATATCATATACAAATGCATGTATGTACATTTTAAAAATTCCGAAAGTAGAAAAAACACTTTTTTTATATCTCAAAGTGTTAATACATTTATGAATAAAAATAATTCATTCCTTTATGAAATAAATTTGAAAAAAAAAAGTTTATAGTACTTTAATTGGTCTAATACATGGATTTACTTTCTCCACAAGTTATCGACTACAAAGTCATCATGAGTCAGAGGTCAGAGAAAAATGACCATTGGATTCAAAGCCCGAGCTCAACTTCCACAAAGGAAATAAAGAGTAACGAGTTAGCGGTTAGTGGTAGAAATACAACCACTTATCAGTATAGTCATGACTTATTCCATATGTACATAATTATATGGGCTCCTGTGATTATTTTGATATCTGTAGTGGAACAAACCAAATGTTAATCACACACATGAGGTTCCTTATTGAAAATAAAAGCCTTTCCTGCTTTCCTGGATGACCATTACCAAATTCTCTGCAAGTGACCGACAATTATTCGCACAGGATTCATGATTCATCGATGAGAGACAAATAATCATTGGATTAGAAGTCCTGAATAAATACAATTTTAGATAACGATTTGGTTATATCAAAATACAATTAGGAATAGTATTACTTTTAAGTTATGACTTAGACATAAGACATTAAGTATTTCAAAACAAATATTTACATACAGTAATGATAGTTTTAACGAAACAAAACAATAAATTAATGATGGCAAATATTAGCTTCAAAAATGCACTTAATTTCTTATCAAATATAACAGGACTAGAAATAAAACAATTTTAAAAAGTATCAAAATAGGTTATACAGTGCCGAATTGAGAAAAATACATAGATCTACGAAATTTAAATCAGATAAAGTATAAAATAAAATCAAACCAACCACTACTGGAAAATTAGAAATTATGTGAACAAAAACAGTGGAACAAGATGGCAGTGAAACAAGATGACCTGTGTATATAGACCTTTTTAGAATACGATTTTCAATAGCAACGAATGATACATTTCGCGCATGCGCATTCTGCGTAGGGCAAAAACGCAATAACGATGTCTACAGTTTATCATACTTAAGGCTTTAATAGATGCGATTTCATGTTATGTCACCCAAAAAATATTAATTTGGGATGACTTAAGGCGGTAAGTACTGAAAACGTGAATTTTTTTTAACAGATCTTTGAAAATGTGCGGGACTAATAATTCAATGGTCAAAAAGGGCACATACATGTGGTTTGTTTAAGGTGTCATTAGACGACTTTTCCATCAGTAATTTAAATTGAAACAGTAGGGTGGCAAGGCGGCAAGTGTCAAACAGATTGGCACGCGAACGGTTGTTCATTCAACCGGGACGTTTAAATACCATGATATAGTTAATCAGTTACGCTTATTAAAATGGTAATTAATGTAACTTTTAAATATACCGATCAATGTTTATGGACTTTGAGAAGAGAAAAATTGTGCAACGTGCATTATTAAAAATAACATGTGTTAGGAAGAAGTGGATAAAATGTGTGTTATATCTCTTCCAAACAACCCATCTTAACTTTTCAAGATTTTGAAAAAAAATAATTATTTAAAATCTATTTATGTGACTATTTCATTTTTTTCTGTTTACATCAAGGCAAATCGGATGAAGGATATAATCAGGTATATTGAACACTAAAAATGCATTATCACCTGTTCTGATATTTTAATTTTCAGAATGATAATTAATCTCGATTTCATGTTATAAAATTCCTTTTGTTTTAAACAGCAAGTAAGTTGACTTTTCATTTGCTAAAAGATATATTTCCACATCTACTTTAAAAAAATGATCTCAGTATCGGGTCCGTGATCGTAAATTCTTAAACAAGTATCTTTTCCATGCCTTTTTATGGCATTCTTCGCCACAAAGCTTTAGGCATTTTTTCTATATTTGTTAAAAGCTATTTTATATAATTTTCTACCGTTTACCTTGAACTAACTCAGAAATGTCTATGAACTTCTTCTATATTTCTATGTAGGGCGATCCATTTTTTTGCCCTACGCAGATTGCGCATGCGCGAGAAAATTCTAATTCCGGTTGATTTTCATAGCAATGGACCGCGTCGTAAAAAGGTCTATATATCGAGGTTGAAAATAATGGTAAAAATGAATCTCATGGGAAAAAATAAAGAGTACATTGTATTTAATTAATTGGATGAAGAGTTAATTAGACCTATACTAGATCAAGAAATGATAAAAATGCATGCAATTATATAATACATTGAAAAATAATAAATGTCCTGGCTTAGATAATACTTGAATATAAAAGTTATGTTCTGTTCTATATCAAACGAACATATAAAAACTACATTGCCAAAAATAATACCAATGTACATGTAAACTGAATTTTTTAATTTTACTTTTAATCCCCCCCCCCCAAAAAAAAAGATTTTTATTTTGGTGTATTTTATGTTCCCAAAAAGTTACTCATTGACCAATTACTTGAACCTTCTTTTTCTTCTGTTGCTTTTTGACATTTAGTACAGTTACAATGATTTAGTATTTTGTATTGAAGTCAAAAAATTACTCTGTTTACATTTTTCTACTATTACAGTGTTTTTCAAATAGAATCTATTGGAAATTTTATACCCTGACTTTTATGACAAATATCGCTATCTTTCAGGTGACAAGCAGCTAACATGCTCTAAAATCATTACTTAAACATTATAAAAATTCATTTTTGCCCTTCTGAAAAAAAAAAAAAAAAAAAAAAAAAAAAAAAAAAAACCACGCACACACGCACAGACGCTAAAAACAATTTAAACAAACAAGTGCCAGACAGATTCAGTCGTAAACCGGTCACACTTTCAAATTGTAATTTACGTATCTGTTTCCTTGATGTAGGCCAAAAAAAAAAAAAAAAAAAACAACAACAAAAAAAACAACAACAACAAAAATGAGCAGAACTTCATATACACAGAGACATAGATAACCTAGATAAGCAACTCCTATATACTCTATTGAAATATCAATCATGCCTATCAAAAAGTGAAAAATTATGCATTTTGCAGCAAATAAAACTTTATGGGTGTACATTTGATCCTTTAATATTATATACCATTTGAAAGGTAAATATTTTATCTATTGCTGCATGTTAAAATATTGGTAACTTTCCATACCTTTCACTTAGAAAAACATAGCAGAACATACCCACTGAGTCTGTTTTTTCGTCATATGAATAAAATATGAATAGTTTTGTAACAAAAATTATTAAGTAGTTCTCTTTAAAAATTGATGTATCATTTATTTAAATGGGAACTGTAAATATTTTATCTGCAGCCATACCCAAATGCATATGCTTTCAGAAAATGTATTATTTTACTGATTTTGATATCTGGTTAATAAGTTTTACTTGCTACAAGTTTTAAGTTAAGCAGGCACGCGTGATATTTTAACTGGCTAGGAAGTTGCCAATCTCTGTTATCTATATGTTATCTATGCTTCTGATATACATGTACATGTATTATGTAGCTAGTCAAATATTTACCCCTTAAGATCATAATGACATATTTTCTTATTCGCTAATAAATTAGAAGTTTTCACAACAACAACAACAACAACAATTTAACAGAGTAAGTATTATTTTTCTATTTTCTACATGACTGTATGCATTTGAAAAGAAAAACTATTCAATTCCTAATCATATTTGGTATTTACAAGTATTGGTTTTATCTTTAAAATGTATTCATCGTCCCGTGTTCTAGTTTATCAATTGTGTACTTTGAGGTAATTTCGGATAGTTGCGTTTTCGGATATAAATAAACAAAGTTTTTTTAATAACAAGTAACAGTTTAACATTATATAATTAAACTACAGTTAACAGTGTAATAAAATAGTGTTGTTTTTTCTTTACTCCTAATTTACATATGTATTACAAAGCTCTTCAAACTTGGTTTAATGACATATTTTAGATTTAAACACATTTTATGCTATTATGGGTATAGTATTAGTAAACCTAAAAATCCTCAAGCACTGACTGGGATTTGAACCACCAGACTTCTGGATTACAAGGTGGATACTCAATCACATCACTAAAGGGTTAGACCAAACAGCACAGTTGTTGGAAGTGGCCTATACCTAAAATCACTACAAAGGTATTTGGGAACATGTTGAATAGTTCAAATCTTGATGGATAAAAATTCTTCAAATGTTATTCACTTATGGTCATAAGTAATTTCTTTGTGTTTTTTTTTTTGTTATTGTCATAAGTTATTTCTTTTTTTTTTTTGTCCAGAGCTATAATTATATAACAAAAATGGGAAAAATCAGCAAGATTCTGGTATGTGGGCATGCAGGTGTTGGGAAAACGGCAATCATAGAGCAACTAATGTATGACAACCACAAAGTTGGAACGGTATGTACTAAAGAGTAAATTATTCTGATTTAGTTTGGCAACCATTTTTTTTGGCTGATTAAACCATTTCATATAATTATACTGGTCGGAGACCATCAACCGGACACTTTTGGAACATTTGCCAGTACAGAGTTCATAATTTTTAACCTAGAGACCAAAAAATTTGACACAGTTCAGCTAGGTTCTTCTCCTAACTAACAAACTAGTTTGTTTATTTCTGATTGTATGACACTTACATCTGAGGCTCGACAAGGAGGGTATCAAAATTACCTAAATAGTCAACACTACAGTACCATGTGTCCGTACAGCTATGTGCATGATATGATTTAATTCAGATAAAAGCTTGGGTGTTTTGATTTTTGATTTGTAACATGATATACAGTATGTCAGCAACAAATGCTGAACTTTTGGATATTCTATTATTCACTCTGCGAATGATTATAGCTGGTATATGAGGTCAGGCATTGCTTTCTTCACCCCCGAATTTCAACGTCAACATTCTTGAAATATAAATTAAAATATTACCATTTACGGAGGTTGAAATACATTTATTTACTTAATTTTAAAAGAAACATGCACTTATTGTTGATAAAATGTGACTGACAACCACCGCACAAAGAAAATACTAAATTAAGCATTTTCGGGGCCGTCCGGATTCAGTGGTTGTCCGGTTTTTGTGGTCCCCAACCAGTACATGGATTCCAATGAAGTATGTATTGTTGAACAAAATGCCAGTTGGTACCATATACTTTTTAAATGCTATTGAAGGATCTGCTTCTCCCCTTTTCCAGATTTTTTTTAAAGGAGTTTCATCTTTAACCATTTTCTTTGAAATTAGTCGAGTCCATTTCTTAACATAGCTGATTTGGGATTTCAATGAATATAAAGCAGACATCTCAGCATCCCCATTAACATTTTTGGGACAGTTCTTGTTGTGTTTGGTAATGTATACTACTATATGACAAGATTTATTCATTAACAGCATTGGTTTGTCATCTTATATTTGTCCAAATGATCCAAGTGTTGTCAAATATTGTCATCATCAATATTATTTCATGATATTTTTTTTTTGTCAGGTCGGTCATGCACCTGGAAAAAAATAAAGTATAAAGTAAATAATTATAATAAATCATACATGAATTAAAAAGAAATGCTGGCAAAATAAGTTTAAATACATTGTTTAAAAATATTATTTATCCTATATATATATGCGTAGAGGTTAACAGATTTTTTTCAGTTAAAACTGTCACTGGCAGCAGGTCGACCCTGCATTCACCATGTAAATTGCTCATTAGAAATAAATTTCTGCTTTAATTAATTATAAAACCGTAAAAAATTAATTTAATATTTAATAAAAAAATGATTTCCTTGTTAAATATTCGATATCTCATTGAAACCTGAAGCATCGGTAAAAAAACAAGAGCTGTCAGAAGGACAGCGCGCTCGACTTTTTTAGTGCTTGCCTATAAAACAAAACTTTGACAGTTAAGGGCACACAAGACTTTAACTAGGAATTTCTAAGTACAAATCAAGAAACATTTTCACAGAGTTATCTTCTCTTGCTTACAGATAGGTCTCATGATGGCACATAAGAACTCCAACTTCCAAAGTAATATCTCAAAAGGTTAAGTCAACAAGTGGACAAGAATGAAAATCTTAACTGAGTTTCTAAGTCAAAAAGGGCCATAATTCAAATAAAATCCTTAACAGAATTACCTTCTCCTGCCCATGTTTTGGGACCATGATGGTAAACAAGTATTCCAACTTTCAAATTAATATCTCAAACAGTTCAGTCAAAAAGTGGACTGGTACTAAAAACTTAACCAAGATTCTAAGTCGATAAAAGGCCTTAATTTTTAAAACAAATCCTTGACAGAGTTACCTTCTCTTGCGTACAGATGGGGGTAATGATGTGAAATAGCATTAAAAGTTTCAAAGCAATATCTCAAAGGGTTAAGGCAATAAGTGGATTTTACCCATATTCAATGTATTTTCTAAGTCAAAAAGGGGCATAATTCTGTCAAAAACCTTGACAGAGTTATGTCCTCTTGTCTGTTGATGAAGGTCGTGATGGTAAACAAGTATGGTCAGTTTCAAAGCAATACCTCCAATGGTTTTGAAATAAAGTGAGGTGGTACAAAAAACTTAACCAAGCTCAATACACTTTCTAAGTCAAAAAAGGGCCATAATTCTGTCAAAAACCTTGACAGAGTTATGTACTCTTGTCTGTAGATGGAGGTTATGATGGTGAACAAGTATGGTAAGTTTCAAAGCCATACTTGTAATACTTCTGAAATAAAGTGGGGTGGTACGAAAAACTTAACCAAGGTGTGACGCCAACGCCGACGCCGGGGCGAGTAGGATAGCTCCCCTTTTCATAGAAAAGTCGAGCTAAAAACAAAAAAATTTAGAATTTGAAAATTGGCCGAAACTGAGCAGGTGCCCGCCGAAACATAAATCTCAATTTTAAAGACAAATGCGCTAATATTTAAAAAAATAATTATATATTGATATATTTTATTATAAACCAAGACTTAATCTACCATGATTTTATTTTGTTACTCGTTTATACGTGATAAATCAGTAATGGAAATAATCGGATTTCACCGCGTCGGTGAATTCAAAATGGCGGACTCTGATGGACTGTTGAATTTCCACAACTCGCTGTATTTAATCGTAGATGCGGGTGCTTTAATGGCAACATAATTTTATGATTTATGAATCATTTTTAAAGATAATTCAATTTATTTTCTAGAACACTATTCGTTTTTCTTCACTTACCGATAGTTTTCAAGCAAATCGTCGGCGAGTATCGGGCGTCATAACTTTTTTGTTTGTAAACATATTTAAATGACGAAAATTCCGCGGTGAAATGTAAACATATTTCTGATTGGTTGCAAAAAATCATGAATATTAATTAGCAACAAATGACCCGCAAATAAGGTCATGCGGCATACATGTGACAAGCGCGTGTCCACAATCGGGTTTTGTACAATCGGCCGAAAATACACCTGTATATTAAGATTAACTGATAATGATTAAAATGCATATTATGCATGAATAATGAATTTTATATCATTTTGAAGACAATTTATCACTGATTTATTTCATATAACTTTTATAATGGTCAATATTAAAATTTATTGTTTTACAATCAATTTTATGAACACACTATCGATTTTTACGCTAATTTCTTAAGCTGTAGGCTTATCAGTTGGGGTTGCTAATTGTTCTATGTACATCACTACATGTGATTGATATGATAATTGGAATATATCTATGGGGAAAACTAAGTAACTTAGTAACACTTTAAAACAATGGAGAAGGAAGCTGATATTCAATTAAATTATTATTACAATTATTGTTTGTACTGTTCCTCCTCCTATTAATGAGTATTTTTCTCAGTATAATAACAATATCACTTTAACTTCCCTGTGGGTGTTTCTTCAAAATCTATTGTATATCTTGCTACAAATGTACTTATTGATCACTTTTTAAAGTTGAATCCTCTTTAGATATGGTTTAACAATGGAATTTACATTGTATACACTACATATGAAACCCTGTCACTTACATCTAGTAAAGGAGCTCCTCCGAGATGACATGACATGATGTTAATTTGAAAATCTTACATCTATAGATCAATTTGGGCACTAAAAACAGAAAAAAATATGAAAAAGATAATAAAGAAATCATATCCAGAATGTAACTGAAAACTGATATTTAATGTGATTTTTAGATCAAAGCTAAACACATTTAATTAAACACTTTTCATTTGCAGTGATTAAAAGAATGCAAACAATCACTGTATAGTAAGTCATATTAAAACATTTAAGCATAGGAACGCCATACCTTATTTTAAATAATTGTTTATATTAACAAATAATTTTATCTAATAGTGCTCATTATAATCATTTCAGAACAGTTTTCCTTTTCTAAATATCTTTAGAAATAAAAGAATTACAGTGTAGAGCCCTTATTTTCAAAGATTTTAGAATTTTTTATTCAATATTTTTGTGCCCCCACTTTAGTGGCGGGCATTTAGATTTACCCTTGTCCGTCTGTCCGTCCGAGCGCACAAGAGGGTATATGTTGGGTACTGAATACCAATCCTACTCACTCCGTATGTATCGTTGGGTATTTTCTTTGATTGTTGGGTACTTTTTTTGCACAGTAAAATACCCAACAAGAATACAAATGTAAGAACGTCCGTCCTTCCGTCCGTCCGTTCTCTTTTGTGTCACACGTAACTCAAAAAGTATTTGACCTAGAGTCATGAAACTTTACAGGAGTGTTGATCAGCGTGTGTAGTTGTGCACCTGGGTATTTTCGTCTGGATATTTTTAGTATTTTTAGAGTTATTGCCCTTGACTTAGTAAAATTTTGCAATATTCAACTTGTGTCGCATGTAACTCAAAAACAAGTTTTTGACATAGAGTCATGAAACTTTACAGGAATATTGATCAGCATGTGTAGTTGTGCACCTGGGTATTTGCATCTGGATTTATTTAGTATTTTTATAGTTATTGCCCTTGTTTTGCAATTTTCAACTTGTGTCGCATGTAACTCAAAAAGGATTTGACATAGAGTCATTACACCTTACAGGAAGGTTGCTTAGCATATTTAGTTTTGCACCTGGGGTTTTGCTTGTGGATTTATCCAGTATTTGTAGAGTTATTTCCCTTGACTTAGTAAAAACTGTTTCATTATGTTGTTATTTGTTCCTTGAGTGCTTGAGTTAGAATCAACCAACTTTACAGGAATAATGATCAACATCACTAAATTACAGGAATAATGATTCACATCACTGTGAAGCTATGCACCTGGGACTCTGCATGTGGATTTTTTCAGTTTTGTTAGAGTTATTGCCCTTGTCCTTCAGTAGTATAAATTTGCAATTTTCAACTTGTTCATGCATAGCTCAAAAAGTATTTCACTTGTAGGCCTGAAAAATTACAAGAATGTTGGTCAGCATGTGTACTTATGCACCTTGGGGTTTGCTTGTGGATTTATTCAGTATTTGTAAAGTTCTTGCCCTTTACTTAGTAAAAGATTTTTAGTTTTCAAAAAATATTTGACCTAGAGTCATAAGATTGACAGAACAGTGGCGCGGTGGGGGCACCCGTGTCCTATGGACACATTTCTAATTACTTTGTAACTTTCCATAGATAATTTTTTTCCTGTGGATTGGGAAAATAATATACTATTTTCAGTTGGGAATATGACTCAATATCAACTATAAAATAAGCCCCACCCTGTCTCAAAAGTGTAAGTCATTGTGACCATTTAGTACGGAATATATCAACACAAATTGAGTAAAACTGAACAGTTAGGTCAAATCCATTTTTTAACTTCTGTCTTTGTTTTGAAACCTGTCCCTGATCTTACATTTTTCTACTTTTACTATTTGAAATACCCCAACTTTTATGACAAACCATTTCATAGTTATCACTAATTTTTTCAGGTAACATGCTCTAAAATCATGAAATTACTTCTGCCTTAAAAGTTGGGTCAATCCATATGTAAAGCCCTGTTTAGTTACAGTATATTGGTGGCAAGGTATATCTTTGCTAGCATTCTAAAGGTCAAATCTTGTTGTTGGCACAATAAGTACTGTTTTTACATTAAAAGCATAACTTTATAATAAACATTGATATCCTGTGGTATTTATTTTCCAGTATATGCATTCAACAATTGAGGATATTTATACAGCAATGATAGAGACAGATAGAGGAGTGAAAGAAAAAGTCCGGATCTTTGATACAGGAGGGCTTGTAAGATATTACGATATATATTTTATATGTTATATATTATTATGCATATCAACGTACTGTTTACAGCTTACTTTGATGCACATTGTATTTATGAATATGGTGAACATATTTACATACTGTTTCAAAAAACTTCATTAAACATGTTAGATCTTAAGACTTTAAATGCAGACAGTCTTTGGTGTTTGCCATAGATATGCTTAGCCAGGTTGTAGCAAAGGGCATTACAAATAAGCAAGCTTCTGTGCAATGAGGCTCAGTATTAAAGGGATTGTGCTAGTGCTTTTAAGCACAGTGTCCTCATGATATGACTTGAATGGGTTATCATATGAATGTGCCTAAACACAGCATTTTACTCTGTGTTACTCTATAACAGTGTAACTGAAATATTGTCAAGGTAGAAAAAACGCAATAATTTTCAAGTCACATTGAAGTACAGTTATTAGAAACAATTTGATACATTTATCTTCAATATCTGGTGTAATGGAGCTTTCTTTTTTCATTTATTTTAGGATGGAGTAAAAACAGACATGCCAAAACACTTCTTTACTTTTCCTGAAGTATGTATGTTTTTTTTTTCCCCATATTTTCCAAGTTGTGTTTTCATTATTTGTGGCTGAGTGGTTAAGGTTATTGACTTCAAACCGCTGATAACATCAGCAGTTCTACTCAAGTGCCCATTTGTGACCTAATGCCAGAAATTATGCATGGAAAGGCACTTGAGGTCTTCCTCCACCAGTAAAGCTGGAAAGTTGCCATATGACCTATACTGTGTTGGTGTGACTTAAAACCCACCAAAGAAACACCCAAAAACTTTCATGTCTTAATCAAAATGAATATATATGCTCAATTTTTAAGCAAAATCTTTCAATAAGCGAAACCTCATCCTGGATTAACCTGTATTTATGTCAAAGGAAGAAACATGGTCATGACTCTACAATACTTGTAGTGCTCAGACCCATGATGTCAGGGTTGAGAGGTAGTTAATCAGGAAAGATTTTATAAAACATTGAGCTTTTATAACTTTCAAATAAAAATCAAATCTGTTAATCCTTATCAGGCTTATCCCCATTTAGTATAAGGGAGTGTCCGTGGCCAAGAGGTTAAGGTCATTGACATGCCTGTCACCACTGAAGGTTTGAGTCGTGCAAGTGTCTCAGCATTCTTTCATGTGAGAATGCTATCAAGCTAGCTTATGAAATATATTAGTGGTTCTACTCAAGTGCCCGTTTGTACCTGACATAACTCACAGAAGGGTACTTTAGGTCTTCCTCCGACAGTAAAACCAGAAAGTGGCCATATGACTTTTATGCATACTGTGTTGGTGTGATTTAAAACCTAACAAAAAATGTATAATGGATTGGCCCTGCTTTAAATTTTTGATATGAGAGAATCAATGTTAATGTGATAAGTTTAACCCTTAACCTGCTAAATTCTTTGAATGGACTTGTCCATTTCAAATTTTTGGAACTGTCAATTATTAAATTCAGGGATATCAAGTTGAAAGTAAGCCAACAGTATAAAGTCTGGTCAAATTGTACAGACATGCAGGTAGTCCCAGGTCTTTACTCTTCCCAAAAGGTTAATTACTTTTTGCTGTATAGTAGGTACAGGGTTAAAGTGCACAGTGTATATGGTCAGACTTTAAGGATGTTCAGGCTGGTCTACATGTATCTTTTTACTGGTTACATATTTTATTCCTTGCTTTATAGTGAAGGTTTTAAATTTATTTTGCAGGGTTTTGTTCTGGTATATGATGTAACAAACTGGGATTCCTTCCAGAAATTGGAGAAGATTAAAAGGGATATTGATAAAAACAAGGATAAAAAAGAAGTAAGATTCACAAGTTACTGTCTATTATTTATGTTAAACCTGCACTATTATTTTTCAGATAAATAAATTGTTTAAACAATTTGTGAAAATAACATGTTTTTTTTGTGCCCCCACGTTAGTGGCGGGCATTTAGATTTACCCTTGTCCGTCCGTCCGTCCTTCCGTTCACTTTTGTGTCGCACGTAACTCAAAAAGTATTTGACCTACCGTCATGAAACTTTACAGGAATGTTGATCAGCATGTGTAGTTGTGCACCTGGGTATTTTCGTCTGGATATTTTTAGTATTTTCAGAGTTATTGCCCTTGACTTAGTAAAATTTTGCAATTTTCAACTTGTGTCGCATGTAACTCAAAAAGTATTTGACCTAGAGTCATGAATCTTTACAGGAATGTTGATCAGCATGTGTAGTTGTGCACCTGGGTATTTTCGTCTGGATATTTTTAGTATTTTCAGAGTTATTGCCCTTGACTTAGTAAAATTTTGCAATTTTCAACTTGTGTCGCATGTAACTCAAAAAGTATTTGACCTAGAGTCATGAAACTTTACAGGAATGTTGATCAGCATGTGTAGTTGTGCACCTGGGTATTTTCGTCTGGATATTTTTAGTATTTTCAGAGTTATTGCCCTTGACTTAGTAAAATTTTGCAATTTTCAACTTGTGTCGCATGTAACTCAAAAGTATTTGACCTAGAGTCATGAAACTTTACAGGAATGTTGATCAGCATGTGTAGTTGTGCACCTGGGTATTTTCGTCTGGATATTTTTAGTATTTTCAGAGTAATTGCCCTTGACTTAGTAAAATTTTGCAATTTTCAACTTGTGTCGCATGTAACTCAAAAAGTATTTGACCTAGAGTCATGAAACTTTACAGGAATGTTGATCAGCATGTGTAGTTGTGCACCTGGGTATTTTCGTCTGGATAGTTTTAGTATTTTCAGAGTTATTGCCCTTGACTAAGTAAAATTTTGCAATTTTCAACTTGTGTCGCACATTACTCAAAAAGTATTTGACCAAGAGTCATGAAACTTTACAGGAATGTTGATCAGCATGTGTAGTTGTGCACCTGGGTATTTTCTTCTGGATATTTTTAGTATTTTCAGAGTTATTGCCCTTGACTTAGTAAAATTTTGCAATTTTCAACTTGTGTCGCACATAACTCAAAAAGTATTTGACCTAGAGTCATGAAACTTTACAGGAATGTTGATCAGCATGTGTAGTTGTGCACCTGAGTATTTTCGTCTGGATATTTTTAGTATTTTCAGAGTTATTGCCCTTGACCGAGTAAAATTTGGCAATTTTCAACATGTGTTGCACGTAACTCAAAAAGTATTTGACCTAGAGTCATGTTACTTTAGAGGAATATTGATCAGCATGTGCAGTTGTGCACCAGGTATTTTCGTCTGGATTTATTTAGTATTTTTAGAGTTATTGCCCTTCACTTAGAAAATTTTTGCAATTTTCAACTTGTGTCGCAAGTTTCTCAAAAAGGATTTGACATAGTCATTAAACCTTATGGGCAGGTTGCTCAGCATATTTTAGATTTGCACCTGGGGTTTCGCTTGTGGATTTATCCAGTATTTGTAGAGTTATTTCCCTTGACTTAGTAAAAAGATTGACAGAACAGTGGCGCGGTGGGGGCACCCGTGTCCTATGGACACATTTCTAGTTTCAGTTGCTTTGCATACAGTGCAACCATTACAGAATAACTCTCTGGACAGCAATAACCTCTTGACTAGCCTGGGGTTCAGGCGTTGATATTTTTTGCTTATTCATAACATGAGCGCTTCTTCATACTCGATCGTGTTTTGATAATATCAATGCCTGGGGAAAACCTGCAGGGTTTCTCATGTAATTATACCCCCGCACAACAAAGTTGTAAGGGGGGTATACTGGAATCAGCTTGTCCGTCCGTCCGGCCGTCCGTCGGTTTTTTCTTGTCCGCCCAATAACTTAAGATTCCTTTGACCCTTAGTCTTCATATTTGGCATGGAAGTTAGTCATGATTAGTAGATGACCCCTATTGATTTTGAGGTCACTAGGTCAAAGGTCAAGGTCACAGGGGCCGTGACTTCAAAAAGCTTGTCCGCCCAATAACTTAAGATTCCTTTGACCTACAGTCTTCATATTTGGCATGGAGGTTAGTTATGATAAGTAGATGACCCCTATTTATTTTGAGGTCACCAGGTCAAAGGTCAAGGTCACAGGGGCCTTGACTTCAAAAAGCTTGTCCGCCCAATAACTTAAGATTTATTTGACCCAAAGTCTTCATATTTGGCATCGAGGTTAGTCATGATTAGTAGATGACCCCTATTGATTTTGAGGTCACCAGGTCAAAGGTCAAGGTCACAGGGTCCTTGACTTCAAAAAGCTTGTCCGCCCAATAACTTAAGATTTATTTGACCCACAGTCTTCATATTTGGCATCGAGGTTAGTCATGATTAGTAGATGACCCCTATTGATTTTGAGGTCACCAGGTCATAGGTCAAGGTCACAGGGGCCTTGACTTCAAAAAGCTTGTCCGCCCAATAACTTAAGATTCCTTTGACCCACAGTCTTCATATTTGGCATCGAGATTAGTCATGATTAGTAGATAACCCCTATTGATTTTGAGGTCACCAGGTCAAAGGTCAAGGTCACAGGGGCCTTGACTTGAAAAAGCTTGTCCGCCCAATAACTTAAGATTCCTTTGACCCACAGTCTTCATATTTGGAATGGAGGTTAGTCATGATAAGTAGATGACCCCTATTGATTTTAGGGTCACCAGGTCAAAGGTCAAGGTCACAGGGACTTTGACTTCAAAAAGTTTGTCTGCCCAATAACTTTAGATTCCTATGACCCACAGTCTTCATATTTGGCATGGATGTTGATCATGACTATAAGGTGACCCCTATTGATTTTGAGGTAACTGGGTCAAAGGTCAAGGTCACAGGGACCTTGACAAAAAAAAAAAAGCTTTTCTTCTCAATTGCTAAAGTAAATGTCCTGTCCGCAATGTATTGATTTTGACATTTTCACATTTGAAGCATGTAGAATACATAACTTAGCAATGCACTGGCTTAGTAACCTCAATTTTGGCAGGGAGATTGTCCTTGAGCTCTAAATGGCCACTGTTGATTCTGACAAAGTGGTATGCGGGGGTATTCACGCCATCATAGTGGCAATTCTAGTTATCGACTAATGATTATCCTAATAATAGACCAATTAGCATGTGACCAACAAATCACATGACTAAATCAAAATTGAGGCGAAGATGCTGAATGATGAAAATTTGACGCCATTTACCATAATAATTGCGTCCAGCACATTTCTCTGATGCTCTCAGACTACATATACACGTAATTTGTCTTTAACTTATCAAACATGTTGATCAAATTCACTCATCATGCAATAAACTATGTCAATAAGTGTAAAAACTCTCAATTTTTAATCGGAAATGGTGTTTTTTCAAGCAAGGCTCTTACTTTGCGTTGAGTTTCAAAACACTTAATGGAAATTCGGTTTCTATTTTTAGAAACTAGACTGTAGTTGCATGAGTTATCGTTCTTTAAATTACACCCTTTATATACCGGTGAATACAAGGTGGCGCTTGGATCGAAAATTGTATTTCCCCTGGCTTTCAATTTGCCGAACAGAAGCATATAAAATAATTGACAGACTAGAACCCAGGCTACCTCTTGACCACAACTGTATCATTATAAATTCAACCTCTCTAAAACAAGACTCGTCAGTTATAACCAAGGGGTGTTACTCTGGCTGCTGTGACTGAACTGTATGTCTTTGTTGTTGATGTTGTGTTTTAGGTTATACAATGAGGAGAAGTTGTAAAAAACCTGCCATTATTTTGACAATGAAAAAATAATGACATGTATTTAGTTCTATTTACATTATTTTCTTCTTATTTTAAGGTTCATATTATTGCGATTGGCAACAATAAAAGTGAAAACCAAGAAGATAGACAAGTAGATTTTAACACTGCTCAGACCTGGGCCACGAGTGAAAAAGGTACGCAATATTATTTGTTATTTATCTTGTATAAAACAGGAACATTTAAATCTTTAAGAAAATTCTTGTCTCTAAATTTGTATTCTCATAAATAAGTGTCTTAGTTGGGAGTCCTCAAAATGTTTGATCACCTTTTCTTAAGACTGGTTGATATCATTGTGTGAGTGGATTGTTGCGTTGCTCTATACTACCATTTTCTAAATGTTGTGGAAATTCTCACAAAAGTTTTAAAAACCAACACTTTGCTTACTTCTGGATAAAATCAATAGTATAATGTTCATGGGAATGTAAAGAATTCAAAGATGATCTACTTTTCTTTTATTTGTTTCCATGGTTTTTCATGTTTTGTGATTTGATTTGATGATAGAGCAAAAGTGTTATATTTCCTTAATTTTAATTATCACATACTGCTATATCTGCATTTGTTTCATTAGATTATATAGGGGGAGATAGAGCACTTCAACATTTCCCAATAAGCATTTGTTGACATATATATAGAAATTACATGATATAATTTAGTAATTTGTTCAGCTAGAACCATTTAGATGTCTGACAGTAACCTCTGAAATGTTCTAAATCCTTGAGATGTTTTAAGTGTGTTCATACTGTAGACAAAATGTACTACGGATTTTTGTCAATGATAATATTAATTATTGTAACTCACAAATTTTTGGCATGTAGTGTAGTGGAATTTATGACATACTCAATTGTATAAATCATATTTTGAATCAAATTGGGGATAAAGCACATCAAGAATCAAGAGCGATTTAGTGTCAAGTGCTGTGTAGCAAAACTGTTAAAAATTACCTCCTGTTGGTTTTAGTGTTTCCATATTCTAATGGCTCTTGGGTATTAATATTTAATGGTTAAGTTACACAATGCTGAAACCAGTAGTGGTGGGGGGATAGAGGTTAAGAGATTTTGCACTTTTCATGATCACTTATGAAACAGATTTTATTATTTAGCCAAGTTTTGTCATCATTGCTTTAAAGTGATACATCATGTACTTTTCTCAGAATAAATTCATAGAAATATATCTTTTGGAAAAGAAATAGTGATTAAAGTTGTACCATATCTTGTGTTTGTTTCATATAGTGAGGTTATGGGAAGCCAATGTACCAAATAGACAATCTCTGGTTGAACCATTTGTATGGTTGACATCTAGAATTACACAACCACAGAGTGAGTATATGGTCTATATAAGATGTGTAAACATCAATGATATGAATATGAAACGTGCCTAAGACATGTGATGATGTTTTAATTTTTAACCCTCAACTCCCTAATGACCTCCCTGACGTAAACATGTCGTGTAGATTGAATACTAAAATTTTTGAACTTGTTGAATTCAGCAATATTATGCTTGCTAGATGCTCGCATAATATAATTTTATTCAACTCGTTCAATAAATTTAGTATTAAACCTACTCTCTTCCTAATATTCTCTATATATATAATAGTGATAACAGAATTTTCAACATAAGTTTTAGATGATGGCATTAAACTGGCAAAATGGGTATGTTAAAAATGGTATGATAAGGATACTTTGTAAGTCCCCTACCGGTTTAACTGGAGGGGACTTTAGGTTTACCCTCCGTTCTTCTGTCCGTCCGTCTGTCTCTCTCTCCGTCTGTCTGTCTGTCAGTCTGTCCGTCCGTCTACAAAACTGGATCCCGTGATAACGCAAAAAGTACTGAAAATATTTTAATGAAACTTGATATATGGATAGATGGCAGTATGAAGATTATGCATGTCTTTTTCTTTTCTTCCTATGTTGAAAATTCTGGTTGCTATGGCAACTTATATTCTGAAAATATGACAAATTTAACTCATAAACTGGATCCTGTGATAACTCAAAAAGTACTGAAAATATTTTCATGAAACTTGATATATGGATAGATGGCAGTATGGAAATTATGCAGGTCTTTTTCTTTTCTTCCTATGTTGAAAATTCTGGTTGCTATGGCAACTTATATTCTGAAAATATGGCAAATTTAACTCATAAACTGGAAACTGTGATAACTCAAAAAGTACTGAAAATATTTTAATGAAACTTGGTATATGGATAGATGGCAGTATGGAGATTATGCACGTCTTTTTCTTTTCTTCCTATGTTGAAAATTCTGGTTGCTATGGCAACTAATAGTCTGCAAATATGGCAAATTTAACACATAAACTGGATCCAGTGATAACTCAAAAAGTACTGAAAATATTTTTATGAAACCTAAAATATGGGTAGATGGCAGTCTGGAGATTATGCACATCTTTTTATGTTGAAAATTCTGGTTGCTATGGCAACAAATAGACTGAATTTCAAGATTTCTGATTTAAATTTTTAAGCTTTTTCACTCGAAGTTCTTTATTTCTTAAGGTGTTTACTTCAAACTTTAAATATAAGTTTCTGGTCATCAACCACATCATATGTGACAAGGTTTACAACTCTAGCACAAAAATTATCAGAATTACCTCCCTTGAACTTAGAAGTTTTATGAAAAAAAATGTTGTCTTTTTTAAATAACTTCTTTATTTCTTAATGTAACTACTTCAAACTTCATATATATGTTTCTTATTATCACTCAACATTTTTGAAAAGGTTAAATACTCTAGCAAAGACTATTTCCAGAATTATGTCCCCCTTGAACTTAGATTTTTTTCGAGAAATTGGTATTTTTTACTCCAAACTTCTTCATTCCTTGAAACTTAAAGTAAAACTCACATCATATATGACAATGTTCATAAATCAAGCATCTTTATTTCAAGAGTTATCTTCTCTTTAAGAATTTTGCATTAAAATATGTTATATTTTGGTAACAGGGATGTTTGAAAAAATAACTTTAGAGTCTCCTTCAGTCTGTCTGTTTGTCTGTCTGTCTGTCTGTCTGCTGTCTGTCTGTCTGTTTATAAAAACTGTTTCCAGAGTTCACTTTTAAAGATTTTTTCCAACAAATCTACTTAAAAAAGAGAAAAGTTGAAACATTAGTTATTCTTATTCATCCTGAGAAAATTGGACCTTTTGATTATCTGTTGTATAAACATAATTTCCTTACAAGGCAGGGAAACTTAACACATTACTGTGATAAAGACAAACTTAGAAATCAAAAGATTTAAGTTCATTCACTGGTAAAATTGAATGGCCAATGGCCCATCAGAATGTTGCTGAGGTTCTAACCGGTAGGGGACTTATGGATTGCTTGCAAAACTATGATAATTGCTTGTTATTATTATAGTAAAGTCTCGCAATTAAGACCAATTTGGGATCCTGGTAGAAGTGCTCTTATTATAGAGATGGTTGTAGGGTTATATATGTGGTAACTGTGTCTTTTCTCGATTTCAGGTAAATCAGGATTCTTGCCTAGCAGAAAAGCGAAAGGAACCAGTAGTAATACTAATATGGATGGATAATGTAGAATTAGAGACTTGATATAGGGTACCAGCTTTAATGTGTAAACAGGATTTGGGAACCGGAAGTATTACTCATTCTTGTATTTAAAGGATAGATATAAATGGAAACAAGAAATATGAACAATGGTGTGACTAGATGTAGGATAGCATCTTCTAAGAAATGAAATTGTGGGAACCAGGCATATTGCTTTCACTAGTATTTAGATATATATTTCAAAACAAAGAAAAAATGATAAGAAAATGAGGAAGGACTTTGTGTATGGACACTTAGTGGTTAAGGAAATAAAAATACTGGAAACAAATAAAACAGTCCTGAACAAACTAAATGAAATAAAAAGGGCTTTGAATATGTTTGATATTTTATAGATTATAGATTAACTTGTAATCAAGTGGGTTTTTTCCAGCTAATGAGGCTATGAAAAATTTTGTCACCTCATTGCAACGCTTGTTTTGGCCACTTAACCACTTCTTTTGGCCACACGTTTTAGGCACTTGAATGCTTGTTTTAGCCACTTGAATGCATGTTTTGGCCAATTGAACACTTGTTATGGCCACTTCTACACGTGTTTCAGCCACTTAAATGCTTAATTTATAGGAAGCTGATAAAAGACACTATCCACTGAACAACTCAAAGATAAATTTATAGTACTCGTCTACAGTGCTATTTTATGGGAACTTCTTTTTCAAACATCTGTTACAACTTTTCTTACTGCAACCTAGGTGTTATTTAAATGATAAATCATGTAATCATGTCTTGATTCTCCCCAAAAAGAGTCTGGTAAAATTAAATGCAAACTGCAAAATCATTATAATTCAATGGACACTAGTTTTTCTGGAATTTATGATCCAGAGAAATTTCATTTTGTCTGTGCTATTATTATTGGCATTACATTATTTGCATTTTACTTTTTGCAAAAACAGACAAACCCATGAAAAAGTCATTTTTTAACAAAACTGTGAAATTTCATTCCCATAAAACAAAATAGACAGTATTACATCTTAAAGAGAGTTAAAAGTGAATGAGGTTTTGAATCAGTATAGTACACTTGAACTTTTCTTTTTGCATTATGTTTTTTTTGTTTGAAAACTAAATATTTTCTGAACCAGATATATACAATGGAACCAAAAACTTAAAATGAAACCAAATACTTAAAATGGGTCCAAATACTTTAAATGGAACCAAATACATAAAATGGATCAATATGTTTAAAATGGAACCAAATACTTGAAATGGATCCAAATGCTTAAAATGGAACAAAATACTTAAAATGGATCCAAATACTTAAAATGAAACCAAATACACAAAATGAAACCAAATACATAAAATGGAACCAAATGCTTAAAACGGAACCAAATGTATAAAATGTTTAATATTTCTATTTCCAAAGAAATTCCGTTACACTCCAAGTATCATAAATCAAAACCATTTAAATGGGACCTGTGCAATACTTTTATTTAAATAAACCAGATTTCAGGATGATTTAAGTCTGAAAGTACAGCAATGTCATTGGTCAATATAAAAAAATTTGTTTGCAGCATTAACCAATAAGATTCAGTAGTATTTTAAGACCGGTTTACATGTTCTTATTATATAACTGCTTCTTCACAATTTGAGATGAAACAAAAATCAGGAACAAAAATATTTCAGTATAGGAGTAATTTATTAGCAGCAAGCATTGAATTTTTCTGACAAATTTGAAACAGAATAAAACAGAAAATTCAGTAAATATTTGCTTTGTTTGGACAAAGAACTTTAATTTGGTGTAAACTCAGTATTTTTGTATATCATATTATTCATGCAAAACTAAATTTGTAAGCTAAAAGCCTTGAACCTTTATAACAAAAAGTCTTCAGTTAAACAGAGAAAAGTTAGAAAATTAAAATGTTTTGTACCATTGTTTGGACAATTTGTTTCATTTGCTGTAAACATAATAATTTTTATGTATCATTTATATTGTTCATGCAAAACTTTAAAAACTGAATGAATGGCATATACATGAAATATCATCGTGAAATTTACATGTTGTAAATGTTTAACTTATTTAACTCCTTTATTGTAATATTCAGTTTCATATTGGCCAATGTCATTGGGATACATGTACTGTATATTTATATTTTTCAAATTTAAAAAAAAAACGGATAAAATGGGCAAAATGTAGTTAGTTTTTGTTCACTACATCCTGTTAGATTCATAATTATTATTTTATACCATAGTTACACTAGTTTTGTTAAGCATAATTATTTTGTATGTATTTTGTTATATTGTACCATTGGTATAATGTATTTGTACTGTTTGAAAATAGAATACAAATTGTATTGAAAGTGTTACGTATTTATCTCCCCCCCCCCCCCCCCCCCCCTCCCCAAAAAGTCACTCCTTTTTGTCAGATTTATCCCTCCCTAAATTTGCCAGATTTACACAAATAGAAAACCCTTTTTCCATGCTGGATTGGAATTTGGCCACCTATGGTGGCTGATTTGTGTCATTCGTGTTTTCGCCCCGCGACCCCGCCAAGCGAAATGTCGAAAATTATCAAGTTCAAATGCCGCCGTGTTATTTCTTAAATCTCGCCCCCCCCCCCCCCCCCCCGGGGCGAAGTTTCATTTGTTAAACTTTTTGTTTGTTTTCGCTCCGCGCCCACGCCATTTTAACTTGTTAATTCTTGACTTTTCGCTTGGCGGGGTCGCGGGGCGGAAACACGAATGGCACAAATCGGCCACCATAGCCACCTAAAAAGAGCCATGCCAGTTTTCACATGCGTGTAGTCTTACCAGCCTTGTCCCAGTTGGTCGACAAAATAGGTTTTCATCTCGATATCCCCAAGCAGTGTCTTTCAAATCTATTTGAAAGACACTGCTCCAAGTTAATAATGGACTGTTCCTTAAATTAAATCTGGACAGATTCATTAAAGAATTACAGCAGGTTCAGGGTTAAATCATTATAATATACGAGTATATTGATGCTTTATCTTTATTTGGAAGGCTAACAACGAAGTACAAACATATTTTACTGTAAAATAAATAGTGGAGAACTGGTATGCGTAACTTTCTTGTAATTCGTGACTGTCAAACTTGATCGGCTCCATAGCGTAGGAAAACATCGCCAGCTTCAGGCGCCGAAGGTCACTGGTTCGATCATTGGCCAGCGCCATAGGCCTTGCTTAACTATTTACCATTGTGGCAGAGGGTTTTTATAAGGAACGAGGTGTGATTGATTAGAAGGTCTGGTTTAGCAACAGACTTCGAATAAATTATTTTACGTTTTAAGATAAATCGTCATATATACTGAACAGCAACACGGGTACAAATGTACGTACGTCGACAAGAAATTATGATTTTTTTTTTCTACAGAATTAAGAATTTTCATAACCTTATTCACTATGAATTTAACTTCCTACAATTGTATTACCAAGGGTATTAC